AAAAACAGAAAGTAGAAGGGCGCCTCCTAGCTGCTAAACCCAATTTGGCACCCCTCCTAGTGTATCAGCATGCCACGCATTAGCAAACCCTAGGACGCCTTTTAACCCACTCTTTTCACTCTTAACAAATCCTAACCACCCCTAACGGCTAAATCCTCACCTTCCATCCCTTCTAATCTCCACAATCCATTGTAAGGTATTCCCTTTGTAGCATTCTAACCCTAGGAGCCACCTATTCTACTAATCCTTACCATTTAGCTCCCCATTAATAAATCTCAGCGACTCCCTCCATCTTATATCTCATCCTTTCAATCTAGGGCACCACATATTCTTTTAATCTTAACCCTTCAACCCTAGATGTTCTAATCTACACCCTCCATTTCTAGGTGCCCAAATCCCAGCCCTACATAATATTGGGTAACATCTCCTTCCATCTTCAGCCATAGGATCACCCCAAAACCATCTTAGCCATCCATTAGAAACCCTAGGGCATCCCTAACTTTGCTAAATCCCAGCTGTCGCCCCCATCTTTCTCCCTGTTTTCAGTTGTTTTTTACCCTTCTCTATAAAAAGGGTCCCAGGGGCCTTGTAAAAGGAGTTGGTCAATTCACCCAGGTAAGAAGGAAAGCTGATCTTGAGAAGTTCAAGGGTAGAGGAAGAGGATGATGCCCAGGCAAGAGGGGGGTTCCTACTTGCAGTTCGCTAACACCACTACTGCCACCTCTGGATTTGAATCCCAACCAATTTTTCTTCAGTTTTAGAATTACTCTCTGTTCTTTAATTTCCAGTTTAATTTTTCCTTCATACAAATTTCTTTTTATTAGATTTAGTTTGTGTTTTATTTCTTTTTTGCAGATCTGAAATTTGGCCAAGTAAGACGGAAGGCCTAGCTCGAGAAGTTCGAGGGTCAAAAGAGAGATCCGGAGACTACTACTTCTGATCAGATTCTTAAACACTTTTATTTCGTTCCCTTTATTTATTTGTTTCTGTTATTTATTTTTATGCATGTGTTATTCTCAGTACTGTTTGAATTTGGTTTTAATGAATGCTATATTTTTCTTTTTAATTAATTAATTTTATATTTTTGCAACTCCCCTTTGTGTTCTCTCTCCCGGATCTRAGTACGTAATTATTGTTCCCCTCCTTCCCTGTGGATACAACCTATTCTCATCACTTTACTGCGTTAGTAGTTGTTTGAGAATTGGAATAAAATTATAAATCTTTAAACTGRTTTTCCGGAGTGATTAGCGATGCGCTTCCAAACACATCAAGTTTTGGGTGTCGTTGTTGGGGAAGCAACAGAGAAAATTTTTTATTTGCTTTATCCGTATCTATTTCATTATTTTTTTTTATTTTTGTTTTACTACTTGATTCGTTATCTCATTTTAATTCTTACTTTTCTTTGATTTTGCAGGACGAAATAGTGAAAGGTGGGGAACCGAAGCATTACGGGACTGCGGGAGAAAAGAGAAGAGAAGAGAAATTGGATTGCGCTTCAGGTGTAGTCATCCCATTTTATTTTTATTTTTGAACTCGTTTTTTTAGTAGAATAGTAATTTTCAAATTTTTAATTAATTTTTTCTCTAGATCTGATTTATTTTTTTTAGTATTATTTCTCTTCCATTTTGTTTCTAGATCTATTATTTTTCTTTATTTTAATTTCTTGTTTGAATTTTTTTCCTTATTAGGTTTGTGTTTTTCTTTTATTTCAAAAAAAACAAAAAAAAAATCGTTTATTTTATTTTATTTTATTTATTGTAGTATAATTTTCTTTTGTTTATTTGATTTTTGGTTTAATTTTTAGAATAGCAATTTTCTTGTTATAATTTATTTTGGTAGTTGTTAATCTTTTTAGCATAATTATTTCTTTTATTTTCTGTTTGTTATAATTAGTTGTTGCCTTATTTAATTTCCTTTTTTTTAGTTATTTAATTGAATAATTAATTGTTAACTAGGAAATTGTCCAAATTTTCGAATTCGAATTTAAATTTCAAATTTGAATCTAAATTTTAATTTTCATTCAAATCTGAATTTGAATTTGAATTTCAAATTTAAAAAAAAATAAAAAAAAAATAATATTTTAAAAGTTTTGCAATTGCATCCCAACATTTAGGGTTTGATATTCTAGAGCATGCATCATATAGGTTTATTTAATTGCTGAAATTATTTTGTTAGTTGTGAATGTGCTAGGTTTCTTTTTATTTTAATTGCTTCTTGTGCTTAGTTTATTTTATTCTTTTATGTTATATTGCTGAATTGCATTTTAGAAATAATTGTTCATGCATTATAGTTAGATGCATTCATTTTGTTTGATTGTTTTGTTTTGTTAATCCATTTAAGGGCGCCCAACTTAAATAAGATAAGGTGGGGATTACATCACCCTTCCTTGGCCCAAAAATCACCCCCATTCATGTGCGGTTCACCCTAACCCTAATTTAAATTTTGGATAGAAAGATCTTGTAGGGAAGCCTCACATTTGGTTCAAAGGTGTGTTGAATTTTAGGAAAGCTTGTAATTACTTTCCATAACCGGTGGTTGGTGTTTAAGGAAAGTGGTTAAACGGCTATGCCAAAGTGGGTTTTGTGGTCACTTAATTAGGTCCTTGCGAGAGAAAGGGGAGCCTCCCACATCCCCACCTCTTACCTGGCTAACCAAAGGAAGTGGTGTAATTTCAAGTAAACCTAAGAGGATTCACATTGGTTGAATCTAAAAATTGAATTTAAATTTAAATTTCAAAATCTAAATTTGAATTTAAATTTCAAATTTCAAAAAAAAATAAAAAAAAATCAAATTTGAATTTAAATTTTAGGAATTTAAATTTCAAAATCTAAATTTGAATTTAAATTTCAAACTTCAAATAAAAATTTAAAAAAAAATAAGAAAAGAAAAAAAAAATTAAAAATTAAAATTTGAGTTTAAATTGTAGAATTTAAATTTAAAATTTCGAAAAAAAGGGGGGTTAAAACAAAATGAATTCAATGGTGTGATGTTGTTGTAGAAGCTTGGAACTGGGAGTTGTAGGGAGAAGGAGGGTTGAGTCGTGCCACATGGTCACTCTCCTTAAAACCGCATTTGCCCCCTACGGTGCAGCCGGGTGATCGCAAATCGGTCGTCAAGATAAAACAGCCTATAGGCTTCGGGTAGGTGTGCACTCACTTACTAGACCTCCGTGAACCACAGGAAAGATGATGCTCAGATTACAGAGGAGACAGAGAAGAAGATTGTCGAAAAATGTTGTGTGAAAACTGGGTGGACCAACATCCCTTTTATAGATTGGTCTCAGACATGAATGGACATAGATGTGTACACGCACACACACATGCACCCGTGCCCATGCCCTGACCCGACCCAATTAGGCTCGGCTTGACACGCGTGTGTGAAAAGCACCCCCAACCCCCCTTACATGCATGGAATATCTATAGTACTCTCCTCTTATGGGTCCCTACCCATAGAGAGAGCAAAACTACAAAAATACTCAACTTCCCATCTTTTCCCAAGTAATGTGGGACAAGGAGTTTTCCCATGCATTCAAGGGTGGGAAGAGAAAAGACAAAAGACAAGAGAGGGAGGAGAGAAATTCTTGAAAATTTGAATCTCCCTCCAATAAGTTTCAATGGTTTATAATGGGCAGCACGCTATGGCACAAATATTGGAAGACGAGAGAGAAGAGCGGACAACAAAGCAAGTAGGGGAGTTGCAGGAGACATGAGTGGTAGAGGAAACTGCCACCTCTGGTTCCGCCTATCTCTCCGGAGTCAAATGGTTTTGATAGCCATGAACCTATGAGAAAGATCCAGATCTTGTTTTGGTTTTATCATGTTCTTTTGAGCAATTTTTGTCTATAGAAAAGACACTATAACCGGGAGATAGGTTTAGGGTTATGGTTTCCATTTTTCATTGTAGTCCCCCACTGGGAACTAGCTGATTTTCTCCCACTGGGATTTACAATTATAGAGATCTGATATTATAAAAGGGTACCAGTGGTACAATTGGTGATTATGATCCATGGTTTTTGACATCAATTACCTATATTCACACCATTATAACACCAATAGTCGTTATTTATCCTTTGGATTTAGTGCCAATGTCGACATATTTTGAAAATTTGAGGAATAATGAAGGACAAATTCAACATTTCATTTTTTTCTATTAGTATTTAGGCCCCATTTACTTTTCGGTAAGTTACTTACCCGGGTGCATTTACCCATGTTCTTTTATTTCCCATGTAAATAAGGCAAAGACTATTTTAGTCATAAAAATCCATTATTACAAGGGGTATTTTTATCCCATTCAAGTGTTGGCAATTTTTCCCCAAGGTGGGAAAGTTATTTACTCACCTAGGAAAATCAAATTTTCCTAATACCCATATAAATMTGAAAAAAGAACATGGGATTCTTGGTCAATGGGAATCAAAATCCCATTGACCAACTTTCCCCCTCTCAAAATCCAGAAAAAGAATGCCCCCTTAAAGATAATATCAATTATCCGAAAACTTAGGGGTATGTTAAGAAAATATGTAAACAATAAGGGTAATAACTAACTAAACCATAAGGGTAGTTTAAGAAATTTGACTTAGAATTCATTTTCAACTATTTGATTTGAATATTTTCTATTAAGCTACTTGTTACTTTTTGTGCTGGCCACTGTCCCAAGGACACGGGATCTCCTGCCCACGAGAATTCTACCCATGTGTACTCACAACACACTACTCCCTTGAATTGGGAACATCTTCCCTGCATAAAATATAAAGGAGGATGAAATATTCTCCATGTGTGATTGCCATGTGGGCAAACATGAACAGAGTTTTCGTGGACAGGAATCCGGACTCTGTCCCAAGAAACCATTGTAGTCGTACATCAGGAAAATCTTCCCAATATGCGACTGCATGTAATGACTTGTTGGGATAGTGTTGAGAGTATCTGTTGGGAGTATATTGAATTGGTCCAAAACTCTGAATTGAGATTTATTCATAACACGGACCTCAAGCATATTCCACCAGGAGATATGTTCTCGATGTGCGGCTGGGGCATGCTATGAGATCGGTGTTAAGGAGCGATCTGGGAGGAGCAGATCTGGTGTTACTAGTTACGCATTGGGACGAGTGGGAAGTGTCAGTTGGGTTGCGTAACGGAATTCGGGTAATCCACCCACAGGGAAAAGGGCAAAAAGGGAGAAAAAATGGAAGAAAAAATAGAAGCGGCTTTGTTCCTTATTCTTCTTCTTCCTTTATCATAGTATCTGATGCCACAGAACATGATTCGCTGATAACATCTTCCCTCCATTTGATAAATCCAAATAAACCGCTACCGCTTGCTTCTGCACTCACGTGAAGACGGATTCTTCTCCCGTTTGATCTGAAACTAGGGTTTTTGTTTGAGTCAGTGTCTCGATATCTTTATGGGTGATGGAAGCTCTGCAAAGTAGGGTGGAATCATGGATCAGAGATCAGAAGAGGAGAATTCCCAAGGTTCAGTGGCCACCCCAGTTGAGATGGCCATGGAAGAACGACAGGGATGAGAAGAAGAAACTGCAGGAGGAGTATGAGAGGCGGAAGAGACAACTTCAGGATCTCTGTCATGCTGTCAAGGCAGAATCTGTCTCTGATTTGCAGGACATTCTCTGCTGCATGGTTCTCTCTGAGTGTGTTTACAAGGTACTAGTTAATGTTTCTTTCCGTCATTGAACCATTCTTTTTTGTCTTTAATGGATTTCTATTTTTGCGTATTAGTTGTTTGATGTTAGTTTAGTTTTTAATACTTCTCCTATTTTATGCTTTAGTATGATATTGTTGCATTCTGAAGTGAACGTTGATCAATGGAAATTAGAGGGCTTGCTTCCGTTATTTACAAAGCAATTGTTGTGTTGGAAATTCTTCTTGGCGAACGTTGTTATATTACTCTGGATCGTGACTGAGTATGGTGCTTCACTGCTCCCTATGCACAAAACCCCACTAGGAGGAGCAAAATTCATACGAGAAAACTGCAAGAAAAATAGGGACTGTTACTCTCTCTCTCTCTCCCTTTCTCGCTTCGTTGATAGTAAATAGAAATTTCGTAAAAAAGAAGAAAGGTGATAAGGCATCACTTAGACATACCCAAATAAAACAACACCTCGCTCCACATCCCTAACAATACACCAACTCCTCTAAAGAAGATTAGAACCTCTTAGGGAGAAGGTATAGAGAACTGTAACCGGTAAATCTCAGTTGTTAATGCAAGACTGAAATGTGAAAGTACTGAATCTGAACAAACATTTATATCAGATAATAGACAACAATGTGTAAGACAGTGTGGCCTCAATATGCTGATATTTGGCATTGTTTAGATGGCCTATTATATTTATGTGCCTATGACAGCGACAGGGTGCTGAATTTTCTGTAGATAAAGAGATGGTTTTCATTTTCCAGAACTTCTTGTCATAGAGTGCAATCCTGGTTTAGGAGTTACATTTTTCATTTGAAGGAACTTATGAGTAGCTCCAATAGGTGATAAAATGAGATTAAGTAGACTAAGATGGTTTGGTCTCATGCATGAAACACCACCTACACCACCTGTAAGAAGAAGTGATCTGTTTCAAATTGAAGCGGCTAGAATGGCTAGGGGCCAACCAAAAAGGACAGGTTCTTTATCAAAAAAAAAAAAAAGAAAAAAACCAAAAATGATAGGTTGAAGTAGTAAGAAATGATTTAAGCACTAATAACTAAACAATGGATCTGACACTAAACAGAACAGAATGGTGAAACAGAATTCATGTAGCTGACCCCATATAGTTGGGTATAAGTCTTAGATGATGATCTGTTTTGCAAATGCTTTTCAAACTGATTGCGACTTTTCTAACATGGCAGAGACCTGCTGCTGAAGTAGTTCGAGTAGTAAACAAATTCAAGGCAGACTTTGGAGAAGTTGTTTCTTTAGAGCGTGTGCAACCTTCTTTGGATCATGTACCTCATAGGTGCTTTGACATATTGATTTCAGTTTTATGATTTTCTCTAATAGTTTTTTCATTCAATAATTGACTAAAATTTCATTTGCTTGCTGATGTTTTGCATGCAACTGTATCTAATCTTGGCTGGACCAAATCCTACCTATATTTTGGAACCATAGAGGCCCAGATTGAAAATTGAATGTTTTGATTGGCTTGGCCTTAAGAAGAATTATTTAGCTCTTTTTCATTTTCTTTTGATCAATAACATGAAATTATATTGATTGTCAACATGTATTAGTAAAAAGGCCATAATCCAATGTTTGTCCTGGCATTCTTTGTATTGATTGTTAGATTGTATTGATTTGATATGGACCTAACCTCTGGCATCTTTTGCACATGGCTGCCTCTCTCAGACATGAACCTGCATTCTCATTCATCTATGGTTTTAGGTATGCAAGAAAGGAGAAGAAGAGTTTGGGAGGGTTTAGCAAATTATTGCTTCCACCCCCAAAGAACATGCTTTATTGAATGGGGTAAAAGTTATGTACAATTGCATAAATGGCCTTATTATGTGGGCATATTTCAAGGTAGCTTATATACATTCTACTACAATACAATGAGACCTGCTAATACAAGAAGAAAACAAGAATGAAATAACAATAGAATACAACCCCTATCTAAACTCCCCCTCAAACTGATGTGGTTACAACATCAGTTTGCCCACACGGAACTCATGGTGCACACAAGGAATGGCTTTAGTGAAGATATCAAGTTGAAGATCAGATGAAATGTGTGGCAGTGTGATTGTCCTTGCTACAAATTGATCACAAATGAAATGACAATCACCCTCAATGTCTTTGGTTCACTCATGAAAAATTGGATTGGAATCAATGTGGATAGCACTTGTATTATTGGCATATAATGATGTAGGGGCACTGAGGGGAAAGTGCAAGTTCTTGAAGAAGACCTCTCAACTAAATGAGTTCWCCCATGCAACATATACTCAATTTCACTAGAAGATTTGGACATAGTAGTTTTCTTCTTATACTTCCATGAAATAAGTGAGTCACCAAGGAAGATACACCACCCAGTATTAGATTGATGCGTATCTGGGACACCTTGTCCAGTTAGAATCAGAATATGCATGGGGATGGATTGAAGATGAAGAAGGGAAAAGTAATTCGCGATCAAGAGTTCCATGGAGATTCCAAGTAATCCATGAACCACAATGTGATGAGGATGTCTAGGAGCAAATACAAACTGGCTAACCACCTGAACAGCATGAGCAATATTCGGGTGAGTCATAGTGAGGTAAATAAGACTCCCAATCAGCCTACAAAACATAGTAGGACCCTGTAAGAGTTCTACATCAAGAGATAGCCTCACATTGAGTTTCATAGGAGTGTCAACTTGTGCGGAATCTGAGTTGGGCTAACTGAATTAACTCTGTAGTATATTTTTTTTGATTCACAAAATGACTACTTAGAGAAGATTGTACCTCCAAATTGAGAAAATAGGTCATAGTACCTAGATCATTCATTTTGAAGGAACGTTAGAGTAATAATTTGAGTTGTTGAATCCCTTCAATATCGTCACTTGTGATGGGAATATCATCCACATAAACAAGAAAAATAGTTAGACCATGTTCATCATAATGAAGAAAAAGAGATGTATCATGGGCACTTTGGTAATAACCAACTTCCAAAAGAGCATGATAAAACACTCAAACCAAGCACAAAGAGCTTGCTTCAATCCATATAGTGATTTCTTGAGACGACATACCAAGTGTTGGGTCGGTATAATATCTAGGTGGAGGTTTCATGTATGTGGTTTTCTCTAAAGTACCATGAAGAAATGCATTGGTGACTGTTGAGTAGGAGAAGAAGGAGAAGAAGAAAGGAGGAAGGAAGAAGAAGAAGAAGAAGAGGCAACTGAGTTGAGGCCTCAAAAAGAACTGCTTCAGTCGAGTGAAGCATTGTATTTATACTATACTGGCCGTACAACACAATAGGTCTGCAAAATTACAAAAATACCCCTGYGGGTACTAAACCTGTGTACAGTACATATAATACACCTGTCAACAGTGACATTCATTTGAAAAACTAACCATCCACTGATAGTAGACAACACAAGATGAGCTTTAAAGTACCATGGTCATTTTGATGACTGGAGCAAAGGTTTCGTCATAATCAACTGATACTCATGTAAATATCCATGGGCAACAAGACAAGCTTTATATCTATCAATGCTACCAATAGATTTTAGTTTAACAGAAAATACCCATCTACTACCAATAGTTATAGCATTAGGAGGAAGAGGCATAATTTTCCATGTGTCATTCTCAATCAAGGCACATATCTTAGCATCCATGGCTTTCTTTCAACAAGGAACAGAGAGGGCTTCTTGATAATTTTTGAGAATATCTTTAGTCTGAAAATCAGAGAAAAAGAATTATGGGGGGAAGGAAGCCCATAGTGGTTACTAATGATGGAGTGACTGATGTGTATCATCCACAGGAGGAGCTGAGGGAGTGGCAGTATGTGGACGTCTCAAATACAGCTGCAATGAAGCATTAGAGGACTATACCCATGCAAAAACATCATCTAGCTTTCAGTTAGGAACATCAAAGGCATGAAAAACAATAAAAGAGGTACTCGGATACTTGACTACTTGTTTGAAATAGGAGACCTATTTAAGAAAAATAACATTTCTTGAGATAACCAGACAACAAAGAGTCGGATCATAACAAACGAAACCCTTGTGATGGGGCCTATAACCCAAAAAGACACATATATCAGATTGAGTTGACAACTTAGTATGCTCATGTGGAGGGAAGTGAGCAAAACAAACACAACAAAAGACATGTAGAGTTGAGTAATCTGGAGGGCGATGAAGTTCAATTCCACACTGCCTTTGATCCTAGAGGTAAATTTACTAATATCCAAGTGTTGTTAGATGTTTAGATGTCTTTGCACTGTATTCTTTTGACGATATTTGGAGAAATTGGGGAGAGGTAGCAAAAATCTCTTCTACCAAAAAGGAGGTAAGTATGTCTTACTCACCTCCTATTGCTGGTTTTTTAAAACTGAACTTTGATGGGAKCAGCCAAGGTAATTTGGGCCCCTCAAGTGTAGGGAGTATTTAGAGATGTTAATGGCAACATTGTTGCATTACTTTCGGGTCTAGTTGGTGTGGGGGATTCTGTACGGCTAGATTTTCTAGCTAATTATCCAAGAAGTTCAGATTGCAAAAGATCTGAATTTGGAGAGGTTAGTCATTGAAGGGGACTCCAAGTTGGTGGTGGGACGGTTAGAAAAACTCGAGACAATCATTTGAATTCATAAGGACTTTATGAATAAGTTCAACTAGTTAACCAGAAATATGATGTTATAAAAATTCAATGGCTTAAAAGAGCAGCCAATATGATTGTTGACACTATCAAAACAAGGGGTAAATAGGGGCCATTTGTATAGGGCCAAATGGCCTCAACAAGAAAGGAAAATTAGTGCGGAAGACCATTCCTGCTGCTGTTTTTGGTCTATTTGGGTTGAGAGAAATAATAGAATTTTCTGTAGTAGAGTTAAAAATCCTGAAGAGTTAGTGCAGAGAGCTGTGAGCAAGTTGATCTCTTGGGTGTCGGTTACCAAGGAGTTTAAGCATCAGAATTTGGCTCAATTGTTTTGTTCTGTCTTGGATGAGTCTGTAATCTGATTTGCGCTCAGGCGGTCTTTTTGGCCTGGGTTTTGTTGTAATGTTCTCTTCTGCCTGAATAAATTTACTTCACCTTTTCCAAAAAAAAGTTAGGATTTTGTAATGTTACCATATGTTACCTTTGGATTGGACCAACCTGTTGCACCATTCCTTTTTATGGTCAGTGTCTGCTATTAAACCCAAGACTCTTTCTTTCCACTAGTTGGAGTATAGTCCTCTTCCAGTTTTTAATCTTTTCTTTTGGTGCTGACCATTTTATTGCCATAATATGCTTTCCCTGAACCTTGAACCAAGCATGAGCTCTGCTGCTGTTGACTTCATTTTTTGTTTTTGATTCCTGACCTTTAATGTATTGATTAAAGAAAAAAATGGTTTATATACAACTAGGCAACATCTAGGCATGCCAAGCATCCCAAAATAACGAATTTGATATTTTCTTCTGTTCCTTGTATAATTTCCTTGTTTCTTCTCCTTGTAGGTATCTGTTAGCTGAAGGAGGTGACACATTATTTGCTTCCTTCATTGGAACAAAACAATATAAGTAAGCATGATTGATATTCCTTGCTTTTGCTTGTAAACTATGAAGATTTATCAAAATATCACATTTTTCTTTCTTTCTAAAAAGGGATGTCATGGTCGATGCAAATATATTTCAAGGTGTCATATTTCATGAAGATATTTCAGATGATATTGAAGGGAATGAAGCTACAGAACCTGACCATATTGAAGTTCAAAATAAAAATGGAGAAAATCATAAAAGTTCACTTAAAACAAATAAAATGAAGCGTAAATCAAGACCTGCTGCCCACCGGGTAAGACTGTTAATTCATCTTTCTGAGATTTCTTGTATGTATTAGTAGGCACCCCAGTAATATCTTTAGACTCTTTTCCACTATTCAGTAATTAAGATTTCATAAAAAAAATTCATATTTTTATAATACCTTTCATCTTATCAATAGGGATTTTTGGCTCGTGCTAAAGGGATACCAGCATTGGAATTGTACAGGCTTGCACAGAAAAAGAATCGGAAACTTGTTTTATGTGGACATTCACTTGGTGGTGCAGTAAGTTTGACTCCTCTAAGTTGGTCAACATTTGGCTTTTATATTTCTATTTGCTTTAATTTGACTTTTATATTTGTATATATTTTTACATATCACGTTTCTACTCCATGGTTTGTTTGCGTAGGTAGCAGCACTAGCTACCCTGGCCATTTTGAGGGTTATTGCTGCCTCATCTCCATCAAAAGAAAATGAAAAAGTTCAGGTCAAGTGTATTACTTTTTCACAGCCCCCAGTTGGGAATGCTGCATTAAGAGAGTAAGTTCCTTTTCTATGTTCTTCATAGTTTCTATGTGTTGTTAGAATATATGGTCAACTAACGCTAAAAGTTTTAAGCATCAGATACTTTCACTGGAATGGTGCAACAGGATTCATGTAGTTGTCCGCAAATAGTTGGGACAAGGTTTAGTTGGGTTGATTTAAGAGCATACTTTTGGTGCTTTCTCATTCATTATTGTCAATGTAGACACCTATGATCAAAATAGACAATTAACAGATTTTCATTATTGTCTTCTACTTCCAGTTATGTTCACAGGAAAGGATGGCAGCATTATTTTAAGACTTACTGTATTCCAGAAGACCTAGTACCACGAATCTTATCTCCTGCTTATTTTCATCACTACAATGCACAACCACTGCAAACACCTGGTAATGTGGGTATTTCTGGTTCATCATCAGTGAAACATGATGAAAGGGTAGAAAAACCACAAACTGTAAAACTTAAAGAGACTGAGGGAGAGCAGCTCGTGTTGGGTTTAGGTCCTGTACAGAATTCATTCTGGAGACTTTCAAGGCTGGTACCCTTGGAAGGTGTTCGAAGACAATTGAGTAGGTTTAGAGGAAGGCAACGAGAAACAGGAGAAACATCATCAATGACTAAATCTGGGTTGTCATCAACAGTTGATGAAGTTGAAGCTGCACCAGAGTCTCTGGAAATCCAAGAAGGTTCTGATGGTATATCTCTTAAACTATTATCTGATAAAGAAGATCTTGATGAAGCAAAGCGAAGCAAGATAGCTGAGAAAAGCAGTGTTACTAGTGGGAATTCTATGGGATGGCGCAGGATGCCTTATTTACCTTCATATGTACCATTTGGGCAGGTAAGTGGTGCAATTTTACATTTTCTTGTCATACACAAGGATTATAAATAGTGGAGCTCTTAGTGTCTAGAATTTGAATTCCCAGTAGTATTACCGATTAAGTATATTCTATTACCCATTTTGGTTTACTGAGGATGATTAAGGGAATATAACTCTCTTGTTTCGATCAACACCTGGAAATCCTTTTATTTGTGGCACAGTTGTAAATCAAGAATTATGATAAGGCCCAAGGCCCAGCCCTGCAACCAATGGGCCAACACTCCAAGCCAGCCAACCATCTGACCCATCACTACATCGGACCAGATTCGAGCCAGCCCATGAAGCCACCAGTTAGATATATCTGCACCAGAAGGCCACATCACCCAGGTTGTTGGACACCAATATCAATGGAAACGTAACATCAATCATGAATAATACTTTAAAGGTTATATACCTACCCTGATCAGATTAGTAACGAACTGAAGAATATTCTCTCTCCCTCTTCTGTTCTCCCCTTCCCGTCTTCTTTCTTTTTTTTGTTCTTCTCCAATGTACCTGCTATAAGAGGTTGAGCCCCCCCTCCCCCGAGCGGCTCAGATCTGGTTATTGTAACTTGATAAGTTAGTATCAACTGGTATCAGTCAGGTTTCGATGCCAGAGTCAGGTTTCAATGCCAGTTACCAAAGCAAGTGCAATGGAGGAAAGGGTCGGACAAATGGAAGTTGACCTGAAGGCATTAAGGATACCTTGTCTGATGTTGTCTCACAGATTGTCCAACTGTCAGATTTGGGCGGTAAGGAGAATGACAATGAAGAATTGAGCAGTGACAGTCCTAGATGGAACCTCAATGGTGGAAGGCACTGATTTTCCCAACGTTCATAGTTGAGGACCCCCTCCCTTGGATTTATCAGGCTGAAAGGTACTTCGAGTACCATGATACTCCAGCTACCGAGAGAGTCTTTATTGCTTCAACACATTTGGTGAAGCCATTGTGTGGTATCGGTGGTACCATAAGACATCCTCAACTCACGTGATTTCGTTGAAGCCATATGTGTAAGATTTTGGACCCTTTGGTTTTGAGGACTTCAGCGAGTCCTTATCCTGGGTCAAGCAGACTGGAACGGTCTGGGAATACCAGGTAAAGTTTGAAAGATTGGCTAACCAAGTTGAAGAGTGGCATGAGAATGCCCTTAGTGGATGATTTATTAGGGGACTTCGAGATGACATTAGAATTGAGGTGAAGGCGGTGCAACCTAACACCCTCATAGCAGTCACTTGGTTGGCCAAACTCCATGAGGACTGACTGTACAAGCTTAAGAGAGTCTCTAGACCATTGGGGCCGATCCTTAAGACCCCCTGCTAAGATTGACATACCAGCCCAATGAAGCCCAACCCTACAACTGTCCTACTCTATAAGAAACTCACCTGGGTAGAAATGCAAGCCCAAAGAGGAAAAAAGGGCTCTGCTACAATTGTGACAAGCGATTCGTCCCGGGGCACAAATGTAAGGTCCAATAGGTATATCTGCTTCAGGTGGATGAGGTATCAGACAAAACAGAACCCGTTGAGGAAAAAGAAGAACAACCAGGAGAAGTGGAGGTTCCCTTGGTCGAATATTGTGAAATCTCACTCCAGGCCCTCATTGGGCTAAATTCACTATCAACCATGAGGGTGATGGGTGTGATTATAGGCCGTAAGGCTTCAGACCTTCGGTGCTGATAGATAGTGGGGCTATACTCTATTTTGTCTCCCAATTACTGTACAAGAGATTGGGCCTGGCRGTCTAACCCATGACACCTTTGCAGTCCATGTAGAAAATGGAAGCAAGATCCAAAGCAAAGGGGTGTGCAAGGATGTGCAATTGAAGATTCAAGGCCAAGTGTTCCATGTGGACCACCACCCATTAGACTTTTTGGGGGTGTAGACGTTGTCCTTGAGATTCAATGGCTCAGCTAGCTTATCCCAGTAATATGTCATTGGGCCAATTCTACCATGGACTTTTCAACCCAAGGCCACCAATGCCACACCTAATGGGATTCAAGCCCTCATAGCTGGGTCCAGAGTCATCCCAAGCCCTACTCAAGTCCTGCCAACTCCTGGGAACCTGATGCAGTCCACAATCATAATAAAATTCAGGATCGAGCTTACCATCAAAGTCAGAAACATTAACATGGATGCTCTTGTCAGTTCCTTCTAAAGAACGTACAAGTCGATCCATATCCCAAGCTTGTTGCGAAGGTGTTGATCTTGGTGATGCTCCTCTAGTAGAACTTGATGTGTCGGAATGATCCTCTTTATCAGATGCGCTTGGTTCTTTAAAGGTTTGCTCCATAAATACGGTTGGACCGGTAGGATTGCTTGTAGAGGGTTGCCCGGGGAGTCTACGTAGCATCTCTTCCATCATGTGTTGAATGGTATTGTAAGATTGCTTTAATTCATTGACTTCTTCCCATAAGTAGGCATTCTCTGGTGGAGCCTTGTGTTGATTCTTAGGCCGACCTCTTGGCATTGTGTCTCACTTCTTTGAAAGGTTCGGATATGTAGTCAGCTTTGTCAACCGAATTTGTGTCGCTTATAACTTTCTGTAGAAAATTCTGATTGACGAACCGTTTGTTGCGTTAGAAAGTAGACTCGAAGAGTTTTCCAACGATATATAACATGCCCCAATTTGATGAAGCTTTCACTGCCGAAATTGGGACGTCAACTGACCTATTTTCTGGAATTGTAACATTGTCTCTAGATGAAGAAAGTGAGTAGAGCAAAAGGAATTACAATCTCTAACTCATTCTACTCTAATACCAATTGATGCAGCTCAAGTATGAAGGAAAAATGTAAAAGAAATTTGCTCAGAGAATTAGAGAAAAGAAGGAGATTGGATGAAACTCTATTAATATGAGACTTACAGTATGAGGCAACTAGGTTGGGGACTCACTCACCCAAAGGGGCTGGGGACTCACTCACTCAAAGGGAGGATTCTCTCAACTCTCAAAGAAGGCTCTAGGCTTCTCAAAACAAAGGGAAGATCTCTATGTGTTTGGCTTGAGATTACAAGGCTTTATATACGGAATAAACTAGCTGTTGGAACATTAAATGAAAAAACTAGTTGTTAGAGTATTAAATGCAAAACTAGATGTAACAACATTGAATGAGAAACTAGTTGTTAGGAGTTATTGGAGCTTTTAATGATCTAGCTGTTAGAAGTCCACTAACAACTAGCCATATGATTCTATGTTTCTTGGAGCATGATTGTGGACTGCATTGTGGAAACTCATGGGCACTCAACTTCAATTCTCAAGTGCATATCATCCAAAAACTGAAGGACAAACTGAAGTAGTGAATCGTTCTCTTGGTGATTTACTTCGATGTTTAGCAAGTGATCATCCTCGCCAATGGGACTTTGTTTTGCCCCAAGCTGAATTTGCATATAACAGTTCTAAGTGTCAATCTTCTAAAAAGACCCCATTTGAAGTAGTCTATGGAAGGAGTCCAAGTCATATATTCGATAGAGTGCCATTTCCCATTCTAGGTAGGAGTAGCATAGAAGCTGAGAAACTTTCCAATCACATCCATGAAATTCAAGAGCAAGTTAAAATGAATCTCGAAAAGGCAAAATAAGCAATAAAAAGAAACTGCAGATGTTCATCGTTGACACTTTGAATTCCAAGAAGGTGATTTGGTGATGGCATATTTGAGGAAGGAAAGGTTCCTAATGGGTACTTGCTACAAGCTCAAGTATAAGAAGATTGGCCCTTGTTGCATCTTAAAAAAAAATTGGTCCCAATGCATATAATATTGAGTTACCTTGCGGAATGACAATTAGTCCAATCTTCAACATTACTGACTTATATCCTTGTCATGGTGACCCAAATCAGTCCTCGACCACTATTGATGATTTGGGAATTTCATCTTCACTTGGAAGATCATAGATAATTGATATTCTTGATTTATGTTTAAAAAGTACGGGACGAGGCACTTACACACAATATTTGGTTCGCTAGAAGGACAAACCCGCATCAGGAGAATGATGCAATCAACAATCATGCTCCAAGAAACATAGAATCATATGGCTAGTTGTTAGTGGACTTCTAACACCTAGTTCATTAAAAGCTCCAACAACTCCTAACAGCTAGTTTCTCATTCAATGTTGTAACAGTTAGTTTTGCATTTAATGCTCCAACAACTAGTCTTCTCATTTAATGTTCCAACAACTAGTTTATTCCCTATATAAAGCCTTGTAATCTCAAGCCAATGGCATAGAGATCTTCCCTTTGTTTTGAGAAGCCTAGAGCCTTATTTGAGAGTTGAGACAAACCTCTCTTTGGGTGAGCGAGTCCCCAACCAAGTTGCTCCATATTGTAAGTCATATTAATAGAGTTTCATCCAATCTCCTTATTTTCTCTAATTCTCTAAGCAAATTTCTTTTACATTTTTCCTTCATACTTGAGCTGCATCAAAACCCATACACTCATGTCATTATGATCTTATTCTAGGGCCTATCCTATCCACTTTAGGCCCACCCAACTCCAAACTTCCAGCCGGAATCAGACCCAACTCTAGGAATTGTTACATGCCTTCCATGATTTTTTCCAAGAGCCAGAAAACTTATTGCTTACTAGACCTCATGATCACTGAATCCATATGCTGCCTGGGGCCCCACCCACTAATGTGAGGCTGTACCACTACCCCCACTATCAGTGACTAGAAATTGAGAAGACAGTCCAAGAATTGTTGTCCAAAGGTCATATCATAGTTTTCAAGGCGCCAAGCAAGGCTAGGCGACAGGGAGGCGCCTAGGCGATGAATTTTTTTTAAGTAAAACCATATATCCTAGGGTAGTTCCCTAGGTTCTATAACCATATTTCCTTAATAATTATTCATAATTTTCATAAGAAAAGTATAAATTTCATGTTTAAGTCTAGAAAATCAACATTTTAATAGAGGAAAAAGAACAAAGTAAAGAAAATTCAAAAAATATACAGGCTGAACCCGTACTTTTGTTATAAGAAAGAAGAAAAGAAAAGGTGGAAGAAAAAGAAGAAGAAGAAGAAGACATGGAAGAAGAAAATTTGTTGATTAGACAAAATTTTAAGTTCTTCCTTTGCTTCTAGGTTCAGGTTTTGAAAATTTTGAGGGTTCAATCAAGGATCAAAATTTCGATATGAAACGCCCCATATCGGGTGTATTGTATTGTATCTTTGGGGTCCTGATACTTGTTTACAGGTGTTTTCGGGGACCCATTTTTTGAAATAATATATATATATATATATCTATATATATGTATATATATTTATAAATGAAATTGAAAACTAAAGAAATAAAAAAATAGGGGAAGTATCGTTATAAGTACCGATACACCTCTGCCAATACAAATAAGTGCATCGGTACTATGAACCATGGGTTCAATACGGCAGTTAGCAATGTTGCATTGATTAAATCCTAACAGAATAAGAAAATAATAAAAAGAAATTAGCATATAAACACATAAAATGAATATTCTAGTTTAATAATGTCTATTTTATAATTATAATGTCAAAAAATTAAAAATATAAAAGTATTTTATAACCCGATGCACAAAACTGTTAGGCGATTGGGCGAGGCGAGCTTCCAAGGGTGCCTTGTCGCCTAGGGCGCCTTGACAACTATGGGTCATATTCAACCTAGTTGCAACCTCTACTCCCTAGTACTGTTGGTAAAGAAGAAGGATGGCTCCTGGAGGTTCTATGCATAGTTTTCAAGGTGCCAAGGTGAGGCTAGGCAACATGGGGGTGCCTCGTTGCCTAGGCGATGGGTTTTTTTATGTAAAAACATAGGTCCTAGGGTAGTTCCCTAGGTACCATAACCATATTTCCTTTAATCAAAAAATTTTGGGGCTGAACCCTTATTTTTGTTATAGGAAAAGAAAAAAAAAGAAAAAGTATTGGTAGTAGTAGTAGTAGTAGTGGTGTTGACTAGACAAAATCTTGAGTTCTTCTTTATTGGTTCAGGTTTTGAAGTATTTGAGGGTTCAATTACAGCATTTAGCAATGTTTGTGTTGATTAAACCCTAACAAATAAGAAAATAATAAAAAGAAAATAGTATATAAACACACAAAATGATTATTTTAGTTTAATAATGTCTATTTTATAATTATAATCTCACAAAATAAAGAACAAAAAAGTATTTTATAATAGAAAGTAAAAAGCTGCTTGGCGATTAGGTGAGGTGAGCCTAAAAGGGTGCCTTGTCACCTAGGCATCGCCTTGACAACTATGGTTTTGTGTGGACTACCGAACCTTGAACCAAATCACCATTAAGGACCGGTTCGCAATACCCGTAATAGAGGAGTTGTTTGATGAATTGGGCCAGTCAACTTATTTTTCTAAGCTGGATTTGAGGTCGGGATATCACCAAATCAGGGTCCACCCTGATGACATTAACAAAATGTTCTTTCGAACCCCGGAGGGATACTACGAATTTGTAGTCATGCCTTTTGGCATGACAAATGCCCCCTCCACCTTCCATAGATTGATGAATGACATCTTCAAGCCCTTTCTAAGGAAATACATACTCGTCTTTTTTGACAATATATCGGTCTATAGCCCAGATTGGGCTTCCCATCTACAACACCTTCAGTGCACATTGGAGGTAATGAGAAGCCATCAGCTGTATGCCAAAGCTACTAAGTGTTCTTTCAGCTAGACACAAATCAGTTTTCTTGGTCATATTATTACAGGGGGTGAAGTGTTAACAGACCCCGATAAGGTGGCTTGCATGGTGAGCTGGGTTTGTTCCACATCCTTAAGGGGCTATGTGGATTTCTGGGTTTGACCAGGTATTACTGCCGGTTCATCAAGGAGTACGGAGCTATTGCAGCAGCTCTCACTCAGCTTCTCAAGAAAATTCCTTTGAATGGCGGGAGCAAGCTGACAAGGCCTTTAACAAGCTTAAAGAAGCTGTGACATATCCACCAGCTCTCATAGATTTCTCACAAGACTTAATAGTTGAAATTGATGCATTAGGAAAGGTTGTGGGGGCAGTTCTCATGCAACAGGGCTAGCTGATTGCTTACTTGAGCAAGGCCTTGAGCCTCAGGGCCAAGTGAACTCCACATATGAGAAGGAACTTATGGCAATCACTATGGCAATCCAGAAATGGTGGGTCTACTTATTGGTCTACCTATTTACTGTGAGAACAGACCACAAGAGTATAAAACACCTACTAGGCAAGCAGGTTTTGGGCCTGGAGCAGCAGAAATGGGCTTATAAGTAGCTTGGATAAGACTTCAAAATCGAGTACAAGCCCGGACCCTCAAATGCAGCTGCTGATGCCCTCTGTCAGGCCAAGGAGTTTCAGTTAATGGGGCTATCCAGCCCAGTTTTCCCTTGCTGGATCAACTCAAGGCCGAAGCCCAGAAAACCCAGAGCTCATGAAGATCAAGGATTTATGGCCGCAAGACCCAAATCAAGCCCCAGGGCACTCGGTGTCTAATTCCACCTTCCAAGCAAGTCAAAGCACACTGAGGACTTGCTAGATTTATTCCACAACTCAGCCGCAGGAGGGCACTCAGGTGTTCTTAGGACCTATAAGTGCCTAGCTGTCCACTACTACTGTAAGGGAATGAAAAGGTCCATTCAGACCTACATCCGCAAGTGCACCACCTTCCAACACAGAAGTATAGCACTCAATCTCTGGTAGGCACTCTCCAACCTCTACCAATTCCAGAAAGAATCTGGGAGGATGTGACCATGGACTTTATCACTGGTCTCCCTATCAGTAGGTAAGTCTGTAGTTCTTGTGGTGGTTGACCGACTAAGTATGGTCATTTCATAGCTCTTCCACACCCATATATGACAGCCTCAGTTGCTCGAGCTTATATGTAGCCAAGCTACATGGCACTCCTCATCAACAGAGATCCCCTGTTCATGAGCTGGTTTTGGGAGGAATTTTTCAAGAACCAAGAGGTCAAGAAGATGCATTCTACGAGCTACCATCCTCAGATGGATGGTCAATAGGTCATTAATAGGTGCTCTGAGATGTATCTCAGATGTTTTATTGGTAAGGACCCTAAGCAGTGGATAGTTTGGCTACCATGGGCGGAATATTGGTATAGTACAACTTATCATATTTCCACTGGCATGGCACCATTTTCAGCTGTTTATGGGAAGGAATCACCTGCCTTGTTTCCTTATGAGAAAGGGTCAGCGGCAGTTGAAGTAGACCTATAGCTTACAACAAGAGATGAAGTCCTTTGGTCCCTAAAACATCACCTGATGTGGGCCCAACAGAGAATGAAGTTAATATATGATAGAAGGCACAGAGAAATGGAGTTTTCAATAAGGGATTGGGTTTATCTCAAGTTGCAGCCGTACAAGCAGACCTCCTTGGCTCACTGAGCATGGCAGAAGCTTTTGGCCAGGTACTTGAGTCCATTCCAGATCCTTGAAGGAGTAGGGGAGGTCGCCTATAAATTGAACCTGCATGCCACCTCCAAGCTTCATCTAGTGTTCCACGTATCCTTATTTAAGCTGAACCTCACTCCAGCTGTGGACACACCACCACTTCTACTGGAATTTATGGAGGAAGGAACATTACAGGTGGAACCGAGGGAAGTGATGGACTTTAGATGGATCAAGCAGAGTAAGAAAATAACCAGGCAAGTCTTAATTTCCTGGAAAGAACATACCTCCTTAGGACGCTACATGGGAAGACTATTTGAAGATGCAGCAGAAATTTCCCCAATTAAACCTTGAGGATAAGGTGCCTCCTAAAGGGGGTGGGACTGATAAATCCCAAGGTCCAGCACTGCGACCAGTGGGCCAACACTCCAAGCTGGCCAACCATCTAACCCATCACAGTGTCGGTCCAGATTTGAGCCAGCCCATGAAGCCACTAGTTAGATATATCTACACCAGAAGGCCACGCTACCCAGGTTGTTAGACACCAGCATGCATGGAATGTGATCTCAATCATTAATAATACTCTCCCTTCTCTTCTCCTCTTCCTCTCTTCTCTTCTTTTTTTCTTCTTCTCCAAGGTATCTTCTGTAAGAGGTTGAGCCCCCCTCTGAGAGGCTCAGATCTGGTTATTGTATGCCCTTGTTCATTTTAATGGGCACTCAAGATGGTATGGCATGTATAGGAATTTCTATTCCTAGTTATTCGTGTTGTTTATAATGATGATGCATTGATGCTCTTTTGGGATTTCCTCTGAACTGTTGTGTCATATATGGAATCTTATTGTTTGTTATTCATTTTTTTGATCAGTTTATTGTTGGTTATTCATTTCAGCTTTATCTCTTGGGGAACTCTTTGGTTGAATCACTCTCTGACACAGAGTACTCAAAATTGATATCGGTACGTGCTTCATTTATTAAGCTCAGTATTTGTTATCATAGGGCTTTTTTCACATTGCATGACTGTAATCTTAATTTAATTTACATTGTTTTGCAACCATAGAATTGCTGTTTAGCAATTTCTAGAACCTCTCATGTTGGTTACTTTCTGCTGGCAAAGGTATTTGCAGGTGAGGTCTGTGATCTCAGAATTGAGAGAGAGATTCCAGTCACATTCAATGAAATCATACAGGTCTCGCTTTCAGAAGTAAGATTCTCCAAATTCTATTTAGAATTTCAGCCAATTTTTTGTAACACTTTTTTTTTTCTTTTTTCTGACACCCCAATGAATGGACTGTAGCTAATCAACTAATCTGATAGTGATTCACACTTGAGAGTAGCAATGCATAATGGTTGAATAATCATTTTATTAATGATCAAATAGGAACTATCAAAGGATACAGCATAAAAATTCCAAAGAGGTGCAAGTTGCGGCCTCAAAATCAAATTAGGATTACAATTGAGCCCAAAATAAATGATCCCTATACATACACCCCTTGCATAGCTTGAAAGTCTGCCACCCCATTAACTGATATCCTCTCCCAATGAACTCTCACTGTTATATTGGAGGTTAGCCACTTGAATCTTCTCATCACCTCTCTAGAGGACCAAGCTACAGTGTCCGGCTCCTTCAGCCTTGCAGTTACCAGTTTAGAATTACCTTCAATTAGGAAACTTCCATAATTCAGTTCTCTAGCAATCTGTTCTCCCTCTAGAACTGCTTGGACCCTGCATTAACCTCATCCCCAACTCCAATTGGACCAGAAAATAAGGTTAACAATCTGACCCTCTGCATTTCTAAAAACTCCTCCAATACCAGAAGGCCCAGGATTACCAAGGCAGTTACCATCAAAGTTCATCTTGATAGAGCCTTCTTTTTGAGGCTTCCAAGCTACTATAGGATTGTCCTTAACCAAGGAAGATTTTGCAACAAATTCCCAGTTTCTCCACAAGTCGACAAAGGAGAATTGTGAGAAGAGATCCAATGCTTTAGGCCAATTGGTAGCCCTGTTCACAATGCAATCCCAAACAGTAGCCTCATCCCTCTCTTTATCATTAAATATCCTGGCATTCCTTCCCTTCCATACTGTCCACACTAAAGCATCCCTAGAACATCTCCATAGAACTTTCCCTCTCCTCTTAGGCTACTTGAAGGTAGTAGTGTGGAAGAGCCCACCAATCTGCAGAGGCACTATCCACTTGCATCCAAAAAGACCAAAAATCTGTTCTTAAAGTTGTACAACAAAATGGCAGGAGATTATTTCTAGTCCCTGATTTGTCTTTTTTTTTTTTTTTTTTTTTCTGGTGGGCATGTCTATACTTGATGTCTGTGAAAAGTTGATCCCTCTCTCCTCCCTCTTTCCCTGTTCTCACTCCCCCTCCCAAAAAACAAAAAAAGTTTGTTACTGTTGCAAAATTTCTTAGGCAGGATGATTGTTTGAGTTACTTTTCTTGTTTTAAAACCTTCTCATGTATATTATTGTATTTTTTCTTCCTGCTGGTTAAGCAACTTGCTACTTGAGGTTGGTTGATGTCTTGCTTACTGCAGTTTGGTTATATTTAAGACTTTTTTATGTTTTAACCTTTTCTTGATGAAAATTTCCATTCTTTAAATCTGGTATTAGATACTTTTTTAACCAGTAAGTGATCAATGATTTTATTAATTAAAGAAAAGAAAAAATATGAAATAATGATAGGACAAAACAAATGCATAGTAGCATCTTACTAAAGAATCAACCTAAGGGCTAATCAATGATATGTTTAGAGTATGACAGTAGGTGGCTAATTCATCATCCACTAGAAGGGTAACTCAAATGCAATGCATTCCATGAAGGAATGGCTGTGTGAAGATGAATTTTCATGGATGTAGAATTGGGGACCCAAGCCCATCTAGAATAGGTGAAGTATTCAGAAATGAATGCAATAACTAGATTTGTAGTTTTGTACTTGGGACCAATTGGAGCTGGAAGTTCCATAAAAGGCAGAACTCTTGGCAGTGTTAATTTGGGATTCATACATTCTTTAAATTTCAAGTAGATTGTCATAGAGGTTGACTCAACAGTAGTGCTTAGATGGTTGGAAAACATAAATCGAGCAATATGTTAGTTCAGACAGATTCTTAGAGAAACTAAAGATTCGACCAGAGAACTTGAAGAAACTCTACAGTAGGTTAGAAGATCAACAAACAGTTTGACCAATGCATTGGACAAACACGGGGTATAGATGGATACCCTCATGGAATCAACTTAGTTCAGACAGATTCCTCCTCATATGGAATCAACTTATGAAAAGTGATTAGGAAGGTTTGTGATGAATACCCTCTCTTGAGTCTAGAGATTTCATACCTATGATCCAAGCAGATTGCCAATCGGCCTTGGTTTCCTCCATCACAAGGAGCAATAAACTTCAATGGCTACCCAAGCCCATCACAGATAGGAGAAGCTTTCAGAGAGGCTACGTGGGATCCCATTGGCTTTGTACCCATAGACTATTACATTATGACAGAATTGAAGGCTTTAGTGCAAGACATAGTTTTCAAGCCGCCAATGTGAGGCTAGGCGACAGGGGGGCGCCTTGTCGCCTAGTCGCCTAGGCGATGGATTTTTTTTATGTAGAAAACATAGATCCTAGCGTAGTTCCCTAGGTACCATAACCATATTTCCTTGAGAATTATTCATAATTTTCATAAGGAAAGTATAGAGTTCATGTTAAAGTATAAAAATCAACATATTCATGAGAAGAAAAAGAAGGAAAAGAAAATTCAAAAAATATAGGGGCTGAACCCTTATTTTTGCTATAGGAAAAGAAGAAAAGAAAATGTGTTGATTAGAAAATGTGTAGTAGTAGTAGTAGTAGTAGAAAATGTGTTGATTAGACAAAATTTTAAGTTCTTCCTTACTTATTGGTTCAGGTTTTAAAGTCTTTGGGAGTTCAATACAGCATTTAGCAATGTTTATCTTGATCAAACCCTAACAAATAAGAAAATAATAAAAAGAAATTAGTATATAAACACACAAATGAATATTTTAGTTTAATAGTGCCTATTTTATAATTATAATGTCAAAAAACAAAGAATAAAAAAGTATTTTATAATACATAGTACAAAACTGTTTGGCGATTAGGCGAGGTGAGCCTCAAAGGGTGCCTTGTCGCCTAGGCACCTGCCTAGATGTCGCCTTGACAACTATGGTGCAAGGGTTGTAACTCATGTTGACATTGAAATTTCAGCAAGTGAATGTGGAAGTGGAAGGAGACTCCAAAGGGGTAATTGGCTGGAGGCAGTGAACTGAAGGCTCATGGAGGTTTAAACACATGGTGAGAGAAGCTAAATCTCTGATATATAATGTTAACGTCTAATTCAAATGGATCTGGAGATTTGGGAATGCACCGGCAGATGGGCCATCCACCAGCCAGACAAGGTGTAGGAAAGATGGATATTTATTGTGGAGCATCCCTCCTGAAATAGCTATTTTTAATGAGTCTTTATTTCCACGCTTTCTTAGCCTTTCCTTTCAGAAAGTTCTTGTGGAGCATCCCTCCTGAGATGGCTATTTTTGACAAGTCTTCCTTTCAGAAATTTCTTATTCCAAGCTTGTTTATTGGGTTATATGTTTGCAGCCTTATTTGCTTTATTTTGAATCAACAAAAGTTTCTTCTCTTCATCTTTTTAATGATCAAAAAGAAGATAAAAATGAATAGCTTCCAATAACAGAATTGAAGTAGTTGATGGTTCCAAAAGCATATATCAGGATCATATGGTTAAAGTGGTGTTGCAAACCCTGCAAAGGAGCTGAATATTAGCAGGTTGATCATTGAATGAAGTTTAAAATTGGTAATAGGCAGGGTAGAGGAGGATGATGGAATGTGGGATACACTAATGAAAGAAGGAATTTAAGTGACTGACCCAGTAGAACTAATAGAAGTGAACTTGCAGTGAGTTAAGGGAAGTGATAATTCCTTTGCATATGCACTTGCTAAACAAGGGGTGGGAAGGGATCAAATGTTTTGGGCTAAGTTGTAATCCTTCTTCTCTATGTGGGGAGAGTTAAGAGTGTCTACCTCTCCCTGTGCCTTTCTGTACTTGTATCTGCTTTCTTAATTCTAATAAAATGCTTCTGTTATTGATCCAGAAAAAAATATTCATACCTAAGAACAAGATACACTCACTAGACTTGCCCTAATGACATTTTAAGTCTTCTTACTTGAATGAAAGTTAGATTGGCTCATTTCCTCATCTTAGTGGGTAGCTTCCCTCCATTGGAATCCCCAAATCTTTTACCCAACCTTACAATTAAGAAGCAAATGATCCACCTTTTCACATATTAGACACTTGCCAGTTTGATGTTTTCTGGTTTTAGTTTTTGTATTTACTTAGTCCAATGTCTTGGGTGTGGATAGTGGTGTACTTCAGAGCTTTTATTGGACAGTAGCGTGGAGTGTTTTGACAGTAAAGGTAATTTTATTAAAAGTGCAAGTCGTGAAGTTGTAAAAAAGGGAATGAGAC